AATTACTAGCTCACTCTCAAAATTCTCCTTGCATTTTTTACATTAAAAATAGCTGCAGAGAGCTATATATTAAGAAATTAAAGTGTCCTTTCTCTCACACACAAACATGCACACAAACTTAATAAAACAGAGCTATTAAACATCACTGGTACAAATATTAAGACCCAAAAGAGTCAGAGCCTGTAAGCAGGAAGCTTATATTTAACACTGAGACTAAGGGTGCATCTGCACTGCAGAATTAATGCAGTTCAACACCACTTCAACTGCCATGGCTGAGAGCTATGGAATCCTAGGTGTTATAGTTTGGTGAGGCACCTGCATTATTTGGCAGAAAAAACTAAAAAGCCTTATAAAACTACAACTCCCAACATCCCATAGTGCTGAGCCTTGGCAGTTCAAATGGTGTCAAGCTGCATTAATTCGATAACGTAGATGCACCCTAGTATTGTTAGGTAAAAAAGAGGATTGTTGTGCAGAAGAAGTGATTTCAGCTGATGTTTGTCAAATAGTTTGTTCTATGTTTTATATAGTAAACATAACTGATTACTCCTTTTGTATGTGAGCTTAAGCATCCTGATCTTGGGCAAAGGTGTTAAATGGTAACACAGCACATTAGTAAGTGCCGCATGAAAACTCTATTTAATTCTGCTTCCAGCCAGATGCAGAAATAACAATACCTTCCAAAAATAACCTAAGTGCCAATCAGAAAACTATTTACCCTCCACAGTTATTATTACTACCCAAAAGGATAAGTTTGGATCAGCACAAAGTATCACAGCGGGCACACTGCATTAGAGAATTGCCCTTGGGTGATCTCTCTTATTTCCCAAAAAGCTTTTTTATTTACATAAGCAACACATATTTTGTGTGTGTGTGTCAGGAGCGACTTGAGAAACTGCAAGTCGTTTCTGGAGTGAGAGAATTGTCCGTCTGCAAGGACATTGTCCAGGGGATTCCTGGATGTTTTACCATCCTATGGGAGGCTTCTCTCACGTCACTGCATGGGAAGCTGGAGCTGACAGATGGGAGCTCACCCCACTCCCTGGATTCAAACTACCAACTTTTCGGTCAGCCGTCCAGCTGGCACCCATTGAGCCACTGGGGGTTCCAGCACATAAATGAGGTTTGCATAGTAGACTAAATATCCCAGAGGTCCCAGATTCTATATAATCATGGAAACTAAGCAGGATCAAACTTGGCTAGGACTTGGATGGGAGGACATCCAATGAAAATCAGGTGCTGTAAGCTATATTTCAGAGGAAAGAACTGGCTAAGTATTCCTTTCCTATGAAATTAACAGAGTTGCCATAAAAAAAAGACATGACTCAAGAATATACACATGTACATACATCCACATAGAGTGTGTGTTAAGTATATGATGTCCAATGCCAAAAGAGCAAATCCCCTTTCAATCAGGACTTAACCGGAGTTGGTTTGAACCTCAGAATTAGCTTTGAAACAGCAAGGCATTAACACTGTGAAATTAGGGACAGCTGTGGGCTCCTGGCACAGTTGGCTTCTTTTCCTTCACCATCTAGTAGCCATTTCCACAAATCTGGGTCACACACAACGTTCAAGGAGCCAAGTAGGACTTTAAAAAGAATCGGAAAATGGGTGATATAAATAAAAGATAAGGTGGGATTCACTTAACATGATTTGCAATTGCTTTTTCTCTCAGCAGATGCAAACCATTCTGCTCTATAACCACATTGCCTGGTCTTTGTTTGGAAGTATATGCCGGCTGAAAGGAAGAAAAGAAGGCCCCAATATTCCTATATACAGCGAACTTCCACAGAATGGGTTGTAGCCAGGAAATATTCTACATTCAGATATAACAGAACAACGGGTGCATCTAAAGTAAAGGTAAAGATTTCCCCTTGACATTATCTCCAATTGAGTCTGGGTGGTGGCGCTCATCTCCATTTCTAAGTCAAAGAGCCGTCGTTGTCCATAGACACCTCCAAGTTCATGTGGCCGGCATGACTGCATGGAACACTGTTACCTTCCTGCAGAAGCGATACCTATTGATCTACTCCAGTGGTTCTCAACCTGTGGGTCCCCAGGTGTTTTGGCCTACAATTCCCAGAAATCTCAGCCAGTTTACCAGCTGTTAAGACTTCTGGGAGTTGAAGGCCAGAACATCTGGGGACCCACAGGTTGAGAACCACTGATCTACTCGGATTTGCATGTTTTCAAACTGCTAGGTTGGCAGAAGATGAGGCTAACAGTGGGAACTCACCCTGCTCCCTGGATTCGAGCCACCAACCTTTCGGTCAGCAAGTTCAGCAGCTCAGCAGTTTAACCTGCTGTGCCATCGGGGGCTACAACATGGAATTAATGCAGTTTGGCACCACTTCAACTGCAATGAGTAATTCGTGGGAGTTGCATTTTTACAAGTTCCTTGACCTTTTCTGCCAGAGTCCTGATGCCTCACCAAACCATAATTCCACGGCATTGACTCATGGCAGTTCAAGTGGTGTCAAACTGCATTACGTTTACAGTGTAGATACACCTAGTGACTTATCTATACAGCAGAGTTACATTTTAATGTCAAAGCCCAAGATGTGTGGGTACTGGATGGATGAAGGGCATAGCACTCTGCACATGCTCAGGGGCTTTAGTCATGCTTGACATGAACCAGGGCTGTTGGTATCAAAAGCAGGGTCAATGTGGTTCAATTCAATTTCAAAAAATTCAACTTCAATTAAGTTCCAGGAGGAGGCAGTGAGAATAACAAAGAAGGAAAACTTGGTTTTCCAGAGAGAGATTGACAAGCAGGAATGTGTCCAGAGGAGGGCAACTAAAATGATCAAGGCTCTGGAGAACAAGCCCTATGAAGAGCGGCTTAAAGAACTAGGCATGTTTACCCTGAAGAAGAGAAGACTGAGAGGAGATATGGTGGCTATGTATAAATATGTGAGGGGAAGTCATAGGGAGGAGGGAGCACGCTTGTTTTCTGCTGCCCTGGAGACTAGGACGTGGAAGAATGGCTTCAAACTACAAGAAAGGAGATTCCACCTGAACATTAGGAAGAACTTCCGGACTGTGAGAGCTGTTCAGCAGTGGAACTCTTTGCCCTGGCGTGTGGTGAAGACTCCTTCTTTGGAGGCCTTTAATCAGAGGCTGGATGGCCATCCATGGCAGAAGAGTGGGCTAGCATGACTTCCCTGGATCTAGACACGATACTATTGATTGACATGCCAGATAAATGTAGTTTCTGGTTGCTTGACTATGAAAAATAAGCCTCACCAATACAATAACCTACCCTAAACCATTGACTTGATAGTCATACTGAAATATAGCCATTCAAAGCAAATAAGAAAGACAAACTTCACTTAATATATCACAATTTTACTGTATTATTTTTAAAATATTATTATTATTATTTATTATTTAAAGTATTATTTATTTGATTTTTGTGCTGGTTGCTTGAGCATTCCGGTTAACTGGGGGTTCTGAATAACTGAGATTTCCTGTTGATTGAGAGTTAAAAATAGCCCTAACTCATTCGAAACATGCCATAAACTCTGTACTGACTGAATATTAATATGAAGATACAGAAATTAAAAGCCATGTAAATGTAAACTTAATGTAATACAGTTTTACTGCATTATAAAAATAGTCTTTGAAAATCATTAAGCTATTATTTCTTCCCAATTTTTGCTGGTTGCTTGAGAGTTCTGATTAACCGAGTGTAGCAATTAAATGAATGTTGTGGCTTCTTGAGATTTCTGATTAATTGAGAGTTACTGTTGCTTGGGAGTTCTGGTTAACTAAGTTATGGTTGCTTGGGAGTCCTGGTTAACTAAGTTACGGCTGCTTGGGAGTTCTGGTTAACTGAGAATTTCAGTTAACAGCTATGGCTGCTTGGGAGTTCTGATTAAGTGACATTTTCAATTAACAGATTTTCAATTAACAGTTATAGTTGCTTTGAAGTTCTGGTTAAATGAGACTTTCAATTAATTGAGAGTTAAGGTTGCTTGGGAGTTCTGGTTAACTAAGTTACAGCTGCTGGGAGTTCTGGTTAAGTGAGATTTTCTGTTAATGGAGAGTTACGGTTGCTTAGGAATTTGGGTTAACTAAGTTATGGTTATGGTTAGTGGCGCTCCATGCAGTCATGCTGGCCACATGACCTTGGAGGTGTCTATGGACAACACCGGCTCTTTGGCTTAGAAATGGAGATGAGCACCAGCCCCCAAAGTCGGACATGACTGGACTTAATGTCAGTGGGAAACCTTTACCTTTTACCTAAGTTATTATTGCTTGGGAGTTCTGATTAACTGAGATTTCAGTTAACGGAGAATTACGGTTGCTTGGGAGTTCTGGTTAAGTAAGATTTTCAATCAACTGAGAGTTACGGTTGCTTGGGAGTTCTGGTTAAGTGAGATTTTCATTTAAGGGGGAGTTAATGTTTCTTGGAAGTTTTGGTTATGTGAGGTTTTCTGTTAACAGGGAGTTAAGGTTCTTGGCAGTTCTGGTTAACTGAGATTTATGTGTAACTTGAAATTTATGGTTGCTTGGAAGTTCGGGTTAATTGAGATTTATGGGTAACTTGAAATTTATGGTTGCTTGGGAGTTCTGGTTAACTGAGATTTATAGGTAACTTGAAATTTATGGTTGCTTGGGAGTTCTGGTTAACTGAGATTTATGGGCAGCTTGAAATGTATGGTTGCTTGGGAGTTCTGGTTAACTGAGATTAATGGGTAACTTGAAATTTATGGTTGCTTGGGAGTTCTGGTTAACTGAGAATGACAGCTAATTGAGAATTCCGGTTGCTTGGAAGTTTTGATTACTTGAGATTTACAGTTAATTAGGAGCTCCGGTTATCTGAGAGCCACTGTTAATTGAGAGTCCCGGTTAACTAGGCTTTACGGTTAACTGAGAGTTCCGGTTGCTTGGGAGTTCCGGTTATCCGAGAGCCTGCTGTGTCCTAGGCATGGTGTCCTAGGCGGGATACAAAGGGCCACAAAGGGGGGCGAGGGTGTCCGCCGGGGCCTCACCTGTACTTCCTGAAGAGCTGGTCCGACTCCCGGAACCCGTTGTTGAGCAGCATATTGATGCCGGCCAGGGCCAGCTCCGCGTCCTCGAAGGGCAGCGGGCCCTCCTCGCCCGTCTCGCTGCCGTCCAGCTCCGACCCGGCCATGGCTGGAGCCGAGCGAACCTGAGCAGCCTCCGCGCCCCAAGGAAGAGACAGACAGACAGCCCGCCCGCCTGCCTCCCGCCGCCGCCGCCGCTTCCACCCGGTCTCCCCGCAGCAAGGGCTTGGCGGCCACTGCGCCTGCGCACAGCGGATCCCCGCGCCTGCGCACTCCCGCCCGCCCTCCAGGAGCCGGCACCTTGAGGCTTGGAAGCATCTCTGCGTTTTCTTCCTCCGAGGAGAGAGAGCATCTTGGGAAGGACCTCCTTGCTCGCTTCCTTTCAATTCAAAGAGAGGCTTTTTATTCCCCCAATTAAGAGGATGAGAGCGTTAATATGCGGGCGCCTTAGAGGGCCTTATTTGGAGGCTTTTAAAACAGAAACAGCCTGGCCATCTGTCGGGGGTGCTTTGTATGCAGTTTTCCTGCTTCTTGGCAGGGGGTTGGAATGGATGGCCCACGAGGTCTCTTCCAACTCTATGGTTCTATTAAAAGTCCACCTCCTGCCAAGAATGTGCTTTCTGGTTGCATCCTAAGAGTTGGAAGGGACCCCCAAAGGCCATCCAGTCCAACCCCATCCTGCCCTGCACAATATGGAGTGCACAATCAAAACGCTCCCAACAGATGGCCATCCAGTCTCTGCAGATAAACCTCCAAAAGGTCACATTTGGTGGCAGATTTTGGAGTACAAGTTGTCTTTCTTCCATTTTGGTGGTGGCTCTGGGCACAAGGTGGCAATAATAATAATAATAATAATAATAATAATAATAACTTTATTTATACCCCACCAACATCTCCCCAAGGAACTCGGTGCAGCTTACATGAGGCCAAGCCCACAGTACATCAGTAAACAGACAATAACAAAAACAATACTAAACAATTAATATAAATCACATAAAAATAAACAATAACAGTAATACTCAAGCATTTAAAAATCTCTGGCCGGATGTTCTGTCATGCGCTGGGCCTGTAAAGAATTTCCTTTAGAACAGGACATTCAACCTTTGCCCAGCGGGAAGCCAGAGGGCCCAAAGAGAAGTTCTCAGAGGTTTTCCGCCACAAATAGTCTTTAGATGGCTTGTGAAGTATAACAAAGTCTTTTATTAATGAACAATCAAACAGAAACTTCTCTTGTCTTCAGAAAGTTAAACAAATGATTCTAGGCTTTTATGCAACTGGTAGCTTCCTAAACCTGCCCATGAAGGACAGGCAACTGTCTTCAATAACTTCTTCTTTACTTTAAAGGAAAGTCCCCCTTTTAACTTCTCCCAGGCTGACTATAATCTAACCCTTACTGATGTTGGCTCCGCTACCAGGTCAAACTGCTTCTCGAATGCCAAGTGGACCTACCAGTAAAGGATTAGACGTTCTCCAGCTGGAATTCTTTGGTCTTTAGGGCTGTTTCCCTGGAAATCTTTGGAGAGTCTTAAGACTGTTCTCCCCCGGAAGGTCTTAAGGGTTGAAGCTTTTGTACAGGGGAAGCTTGCACACGTCCTGTACATTAGCTTTCCTTGCTGAGACTAACTAAAAATGGCTCCCTTCGCTTCTCAATTGCCCTGAACAAGGGGCGGGACCAAAACTTAATGATGATGGACAGGTGACTTGCCCTATGACTGCAACCAAAGGAAGCCACCTTCCTGCAGAAACCCTGAAACCTAGGACTGCAAACAAACATCCGATACAAAGCAAATAATGTTGGAGCTCCTGGTACAGCCGTACCAGCACACCGGGCCAAATGTAATAATTTAAAATTTTAAAAATAATATTTTAAAAAACAATGCTGGGCATGAACAAGGTAGGATATAACTGGGATAGGGTTTTTCAAAGAGAGATGAACACAGTCAATCCTAAATCAGTGGTAAAGTGCATTTGGAGGGCATATTGCTGAGAGTTTTCCTTATTCTGGGAAGGCACACTGGAACAACCACGTTTTCAGGCTCCTCCTAAAGACTGCCAGAGTTGGGGCATGTCTGATGTCCTTGGGAAGTGACTTCCAGAGTTGGGGGGCCATCACCGAGAAGGCCCTTTCCCTCATCCCCACCAATCGCGCCTGCGAAGGAGGTGGGAGCACAAGATTACATAACATTACAAGATTACATAATGCATTTCGCTGTTAGGAATTGTGGGAGTTGGAAGTCCAAAACATCTGAAGGGCCAAAGTTTGCTCATGCCTGGCATATAAACTCCACATGTGCAGAGTTCCCTACAATGGGTGAGAATCAGGCTCATTCTGTATAGAACATTTCCAGCGAATACTTTTGTAGCACTGGAAATTACTGCATGAAAATTAATGTGATGCTCATTGGACCCTGGCAGTCAAGCACTTTTACTGCTTCTTTTAGCGCTACAACTTGTTAATCTTTTTATAGACTCTCCTACATTCAAATAAAAATGCATTTAATCTCTTCATTATCAAACTTCAATAGAACAGCAACGTTGTAGGTTGCAGGCTGTGAAGTCTTGGCTCTGCCTTTTCCTCTCCTCTGCTTCAGTTCCCCGTTTATAGTGTAGATATTTCCTTTGTATTACATGGGTTGAGTGAAAAGTAATGCCTCCACCTTCGTAACTCCTCAACAAATGGCAGTACTGGTAGGCAGCTGGTACTGGCTTGTTCAGTAGACTCTCCTCTACAGTTCCATTTTGGTGGGAAGCCTTGGCATTGAGTGATTGTGTTGTTAAAGTGTGAAGTATGGAACCCTGCGCAGACAGTCAGTCAATGCGAGTTAAGCAACGTGCAGTCATGGAATTCTTGACAGCAGGAGGTGTCACTCCAAAGGAGATTCATCAGATAATGCAAGCTGTTTATGGTGATTGTGTTGATGTGAGTACTGTGCGTCGTTGGGCGAATATATTTTAAAGGAAAGAATGTTTTTTGGACAACAAAAAAGAACACTTCTGAAACTCTGCTGAATTTATTTTTTGTGCATTGGCATATTGTTGTTTCTAGCAGTTCAATGACATACCTAGGTACATCAGTTTAACAGCTGAGAAACCTAATTGCCTTGCATGAATGCCATTTTCCCAAAAGGTTATGACTCTAACAGGTCATGCTTTTACCAAGAATTTTTGGCATCATTTTTCATAAGGTTATGACATCTAACAAGCCCATGCCTTTCCAAAAACCATAAAATCTCCAAAAGGTTTTGGAGATTTCCATTTTCTAAAAGTTTATATCTGAATGTACAGGATTATATTTATCATAACATCTGTACAATCGGAATCAAAAATCAGTAGGTCTGTTTCACAGGGGACGAGAGATATAGGGGGTTCTGCCATCCCTTGTTGACCTCTCTTTCCCTATATATGACTTTCTTGGTAGGTTCGTTTCCATGATGAACAAGAGAGACACAATATTTACTGTGTGCATTTAATTTTTATCAAATAAAACCAACATTGAGCCAGCTCTCAATGTTATCTAGAGCCAAGAATTGGGCTGTGTGACTAAGTGCTAGAACCACCCATATAATGATAAGATTTCAAACAAAAATCTGGATGACATCATCAGCATATCTCAAAAGGTTCCCATTCTGCAAATTAAACTCAACACAATCAGAGTTTGCTCATATGTCAAGGAAATCTATAATTCCTTGTCTACCATTTTTCCCATTTCCCAGTATCAAGGACAATAGACCAGTCCCTACTGCCATAGACCCCCATATACTTATTGGAATCAATCAATATAGAAGACAGGGGTTGTAGCTCAGCAGTCAGGGACTGATGGGTTCACTGATGATTCAGAAGGGATTGTGGGATTTCCTGGGGTTCTTCATAGTGATGCAGATTCATGCCAGGTGTTGCAACCCAGAGCAGGAAACTGGACCCTCAGACAACAATCCACCACACTTGACTTCAGGAAAACAATCCTTTTTTATTGATGAAAGATGAATACAAAATAGAGGAAATATGCAAAGGTAAAAAGTCAGTAAAAATCAGCAACAAGAAATGTCCATAAACAGGATCATAAAACTCACAGCAAAACTGCTGAATCCTGGAACCTGTTAGCAATCCACTAACCGTACTTGGAAAAACTAGAAAACCTCCGAGGAATAAGGCCACTTGAATCAGGAGATCTGCAAAAGCTTGCACATGAATCTGGAACAATGTCTGGTATGAAGCTGCATTCAGGCCAGGCATACTTAAGGCCTAGAAATCTATTGAGAGACACACCTGAAGTTTTTGTTTGCATCTAGCTGACCTACGTAAACTTTGTGCTTCTCCCCGGCTCTGCCAAATCTGCCCCGCCTATCCTCATTAGGCAGACCAGGTGTCAGATTCTCTGGAGAACTAAGACTGGGAGGAAAAGGGAGTGAAACTTCTCTGCTCAGCTCAGAATGCATGTTCTCTTGGGAATTTTGATTTTCACTTTCCAAGGCTGTAGGATTTTCACTACTCAAACCATCATCATCTAAATTGGCCTCAGAATTCACATTGAAATCTACATTGGCATCAGGAAATACAATCAGAGAATCAGGTTCCGCTTCACACCCAGGCTGAACCCCAACACCAGGTTCAAAGTATTGAAGATTCAGGACAGGGAAATGAAATTGACTCTGACAGTGCCGAGCTCCAAGGTCAGTCACAGGAGCCAGAAACAACATCATTAGATAAGGGTCTGAGTGAAGAAGAATTAAGTGAAACAGAAAATTCTCAAGGGAAAGCACCTGGTGTTACGGCGATTAGCAAAAGTCTGTGTTTACAGATAAGAGCAGAGAACTGGCTCCATCAGAAAAATTACATGGGAAAGAGATAGAGAAAATTTGTGGGAAACAACACGACTTCATGACTGTTTATTAACAGCCAGTGTTTACCTTAAAGTCAGTTCAGGCAATGTTGGCTTTTGCGTTAGAAGCAAAGCCTCAGTCTCTGGTCAAGTCAAGAATTGGTTTTGGATTCAAGTATCTTGGAAGTTTTCTATATTCTTGTTTTATGATTCTTGCTCAAGTTTTTCTAAGTATACCTTTCACTTATGGATTCATGTTGTACTTGTGATTTTTGGCTATTCCTGGACTGTATTACCTTTGGATTTTTATGAGACATTTGCATTCCTATTGCTAAACCTTTTTGGATTATTTCTTTCATTATTCCTGTTTTTTCATATATTTTATGTGTTTTTACCACAAC